TGTTACTCAGGTTGATGCAAAGCAATAAAATACATACACAACCAGAATACAAAACACAATAATATTCTACTAAAATAATCAGGCCAAAAAATAAAAATACATAAATAATGAAAATAAATATAAAGAGAAAAACAAATAGATAAAAACCTAATATAAAAATATTTTAAAAAGTAACTAGAATAAATAATTACGCATAAGAATGTCACCTTCTAAGTATAACCTGTAACATTATATACACTACTATATCTATGCCACGGCAATCAGCAGATGGCGCTATGGACCACAGACTATACTCCTTTGAGATCAATAATAATAATAATTTTATTAGATTTTATTAGATTCGATTTCAATTGAGAAATACAGAACTGTTTTCGAGTTAAATAACTAAGCCAATAGCATGTTTGACGGAGGCAAACAGATTTGTCTATCACTGATTAAAGATGATTCAATTAATTGTTTTAATATGTGCACTGATAGTTGGAAGACAATAGGACGTTGATTTGAGACATAGATTCCCTAGTTAGACTTAACACTGTCGTTCTGTCTGTAGTTGTGTTGTATTACAATGAAAAGAAGAGCTATTAGTGAAGAGCTAAATGTGTGTCTTTGCTTCCCTCGCTCAGCTGTTCTAACCACACAGCAGGAGATAATCAATTATCAGCTGGATAATTGCCCAGCTTCTTTTCTCTGCATTGAAAGGTCATCATTAATGTCTGCGAGACAGCGTTGTTCTAATGCATATACCAGAGTAATACATCATGTGTGACAAATTGTTCAGTTGGGAAATTTTTATAAAGGCAGGTTTGATCTAAATTATTGCATGTCTTGTGTTTTGAGACTGTTATATATCATGCCTAGAGTCATCCTGTGAGTTGAAATGCACAGTTGTTATCTTGATTTAAATGCAATTTATTAGATAAAAAGTCACAGAATCCTTGGTGTGACCCAGTAGATTTTGATGTTTGTGTTGTAGATAAATCCTTAGATGAGCATTATTTTAAGGGGTGTAGGTCATTGAAGTTGGCTCTGGGATTGATGACTGTCCAGGATTGACAGGGATTGAATTTGTGGCTGTAGCCAAGGGCATCTTCTCTGTTAAGCTGGACATATAGCTCTTGCATGATAACTCATTCTGATGGGTGTATATTTCCATGCTTTCTGGTATACAGAGGTACATGCAAAGAGTAGGAAAAAATAAAGACGTATATGTAAAGCATATAAAGCTGACAGCATGACATGACCATACATTTTAGATAGTTCTTTTATAGGGGGATGTTTCAAAAGACTTGTGAGCTGATTGGATGTGAGAAGGAAATTGAAATTTGATTGCCCGCAGTTCACATAACTGTGTGATCAATTACAAGAAGTGCTGACAATGCAAACACAATGGGGAATTTTTTTTTTTAAGATGGAGGGAAAGATCTGCAAGTAAACATGTTAATGTGTAGCTATACTTTAGGGACAGATTTGCCCTCAGATGTGAGTTAAATCTAACAAACCTCCCTTTGGAGAAAATTCAGAGACGTCCTTTATTGGAAAGTGACTCAAAGAGTACTAAAAATGCAATATATTTTTATTTAGGCGTTAGTTAGTACTTTGGTTTATAAAACTATAGAAGCCTGTACTATATATAAATATAAAAATGTATATAAAATGTGTGTGATATATGTAAGATGTTAAAGATAGACAGTAATAGAACACTGATTATGTTATACTTAGAGTCCTTGTGTGGTCCTGGTGGGACTCTGCTGAGCGTTTCCTTAGCAACAGCACCTCACCCCATTCAGCTGAGACCGTCTTCTGCCCAATTGGAGGCTGACTCTCAAGTGCACTGGATTATTGATGAGATCCAAGATGGAGGTGTTAAGAAGATGCTATGAGAATAACATGGCTAATAACATAAATTCAGGACATCATTTATTTTTCCTGCCTTGTGTTCACTTATATTCGAGAAATTACAATACCATTCGAAACAAAGAGCGTTGCAGCTCTACCAGTGTATTTCTTGTTCATTCTTGACTTTTTTTTTTTAAACAAACAAAAGCATAGTGTGAGTGACCAAATTACAGGTTTAAATGTAGTTCTTTTTTTGGCATTACCCAATGAATATAATGTTGTTTAGCAATTATACATTCGTAACTGCTAATATTGTAGTTTTTACATTGGCTGTGTGCATTTCTCAATACCTGCAGTATTTCACATTTTGAAAAGTCTATAATTAAATTGTGAATATTGTTTCTTTGCCTTGCATTCAGTGACAATTCCTTTCAAATTAAATCTTTTGTCACTCAGTCAGCCAGAACTTTAATTTTAATTTTTACATTTTGAATATAAAAACAAAATATGCACAGTAAACTACAGAATTCATATTTCCACTTCCCGGTATCTCTTATGTTTAAGTTTAAATTATACTGAAATAGAAAATGTGTGATTTACACTTACTACATTGCTTGAAAAAAAAAAAATCCAAGAACCTTAAAGATCTGTTGTTATCCTGCTGTTATCATATTCAGTGTTTTCAAAGTAATTTTGTTATAAGTGACAGTTTTTATTGGTGAGATTGCTTGCTACATGATTTATATGATAGATAGATAGATAGATAGATAGATAGATAGAGATAGATAGATAGATAGATATTTAATTTATACTCCCTTTATTCCTTTAACATTAAAGCACACAGTTGTTCTAAAGTCACTTTAGGTTCCATGACCCAGCTGACCTGCATTGATCTGCTGACATCATGCTCAGATACATAAAAGTAATAGCATGCTGTGACCCAGACTTCTCACATTGAACTTCAGCCAATGTTATTTCTCTGGTACTTTTGCCGCTAGACATTTCCATTTTGATTTACCACTATGGTTCTGTCTGGGTTTGAAAAATGCCTGCAGTGCCCAAGTCATTATTAGTTAATGTCCTCCGTGGCATAAGGGCAGTGATGGCATGGTAGACTGCTAGGCCAATGACCAGTCTGTGTTCCCTCAATCAAATAGATGTTAATGCAAACCAGTCTTGATTTACTATAACAGCAATGCATCTTATTTTCAAGAGTACATTTTTAGTGTTTTTTGTTGTTGTATAGAAGCATGTAATATTGCTATCCTTTTATTTAAATTAAAAGCTAAAGTTAAGTTATGCTCAATGTTTTACTCTTTTTGTTTTGAGGTCAAAAGTTTGAATGCACAAATTACTTGCCTAAATCTTGTTTATTTTGGCTAAATTTGGTCAGAGCCAGACGTCTAACCAGAATCAGACATATCATCCCTAAGGTTCAGGCCTGTTTTGTAGCCAGTTAAACTCTCAGAAATGCCTGTGAGCAACCACAAGCACACAAATCCACACACACACACACACACACACACACACACACACACACACACACACACACACACACACACACACACACACACACACAAAACACAACCACATTTTGTGGACTGTGTGAACTAGCATACTCTACAAAAAAGAACACAGGGTATTTTCCACAAAATGGTTTATTGTGGTCAAATTTACCCTCTTTTTAAGTGTAGTTCCCTTTACATCAAACACTCCATAGTTGGGAAGAGTTATCGCACACAAACATCAGAAAAAGCTCAAGGTAATACTGGAGACTATCCTCTAGATATTGGATTAGGAATGAAAAGAGGAAAGATGCATGTTCACAAGATATATATATTTCATACACAACTGCAGACATATTCTTACTAGCACCCGAAGGTGAGCGAAGAGAACCAGAGGGATTGTGAAGTTTTGAGAGAAAGTGAAGTGTTACTGTGGGTCAGAGGAAAGAGGGGAGTGATAGACTGGATGTGTGTGTTGTATTTAGTAATGTAGACGTCTCGCGACAGTGCACAACAGTGCACTTTGCTGAAGCACGTGGCTAGAAGAATCTGTTAACAATTGCTGCTGTTAGTATGGAATTAAGAAGTGTCCGGTTCTGAGTTAAATGCCGTATCAAGTTTACTGTTATACTGAGCTGTTGAAAAGGGTTGTGCCACAAAGGCACTAAGTTCCCCAGTAGTATAATTTGTTGACGTGTTGTATAAATATTTTAAGCAGTTATGGCTTTGAAATATTTTTAACAACCTATAGCATAATCCTGTATAGTCATGTAGATTCCGGTAAACTGTCAAATCTGTATACTGTGGTAGCATCATAGGAATTAATGATTATAATTCAAATCTCTTTGACAACCTTCAATAAGATGGTAAAATTTTCATGGTTGTATGGTTATTGATAAAAAGCGACATTAAGATACAGTAAGCCTGATCCAAGTTCATGATTTTTAGAATCATGAATTATTTGTCATATCCTTGCAGTGATTTGTTGGCAGTAAAGAGTGAGTTTCCCCTCTTAGTGAAAGAAAGCAGAGAAATGTCAAGGATAATACATTACACATGCACATATCATCCGACCACTCACTCCGTCACTAAGCTATTTATAATTATAGTACAGTGCAATTTTATAAAAGATTCCTAAGGAAAGGAAAGTTTTCAGTTTCTCAAATTTCAATGTACTACAATCTTGATGGCTCTTCTTGGCAACATTAACAAGCTAAGAAAATAAAAATCATAGATGAATAAGATTTGGATGAACAGTGCATACAGAAGAGCTCTCAACGTTAAGTGAAATGTTCAGTTAAAAGGATAATCAACCCCATTTTGGAGTAAGAGAAGAAAACAATAGTTATCAAAGAAAAACAATAATGTTTAACTTTGACACAAAAGATCACTTTTCATGATTAACTTAATAGGAAATACCCAAAAAGCAAACTTTATAGTTATAAATAATTTAAGTATTAAATAAAGCAAATAAATATAACGACTGTATTGCTCAGATAAAAACATATTTTGGAGTAAGAGAAGAAAACAATAGTTATCAAAGAAAAACAATAATGTTTAACTTTGACACAAAAGATCACTTTTCATGATTAACGTAATAGGAAATACCCAAAAAGCAAACTTTATAGTTATAAATAATTTAAGTATTAAATAAAGCAAATAAATATAATGACTGTATTGCTCAGATAAAAACATTAACATAAATAAATTATGCAAATAAGAACTAGTACAAACTGATGAATAACAATTTTTGGAGTTCAAACATTTAATATTTTACCCTATTTAAAAAAAGGCTGGTGTGAAATTTGTGTAATTTCAAGCTAAAGATGGGCTGTGACAATATGATTAATGAATTCTTTGCTTGTCCAGGAAGAAAAGGTATGAGATGTTTTTGTTGTTGTTCTTTTACTACAACATATGGTATTTCACGTTTTCTCAGGCATTTATTTTTCTCAGAGAGTTATTTTAAGTTGGTTAGATCATTGTTCTATTTTGCATTTATTCGCAAAGGTAGCAAGCTTCACATTCATATTTTATGCAACTCAGTGTGGCTGGAATATGAAGTTTAATGTAGCTTTTGCATCCTATGATATATTTATGTCACAGTGGATCATGCATACCATTTAATTGTCCTCATATTAAGTGCATTATGTTTGTTGTACATTCAGTTTAACTTTCTAAGGCATTAAAACAATCCCTCAACCTTTGGTGTAAACTATACCATTTAATGAGTCATCCAGAATCCATTCATCATCTGTGCATAAATGAGTAAATTTGTAGTTTGTTGTCAATTTTATTGGAGCTGCTCAGTACAGTGTCCATCCACCGACTACTGTATGTATTTAGTCAGTTGTTTAGTTTAGCTTAGCTTCTGCTGGTTGTTTGTGTGTTTAAGGAGGTCTGATTTACACCAAAAACTGTTCTTCGTGTGGTCAACAGTGACAAACCAAGCATTTTCACAACCTGAGACCTCAAAAGATAGAGAGATAATTCTACTGAGAAACATTTTTACTGGTTCCTCTATTGAGAATATGGAATGTGATCCAAAATATTTGCTTTTGTGAATGTGTGTACTAAGTTTTTCATTTATTTGCTGTCTAACATCCAACCTCTACCATATCTGGATCATGACAATCACAGCTCAATTTTACATGCAGGGAAAGACTCATCTTGCATAACCACAGAGCTGCTGCTCGCCAAAACCATGATGTTCAAGTCTTGCTGCTTCACATGGGTTTCCTGGTACCACTCCCTCATAACTTCTATATATATATATATATATAGGAATTATGAATCAGACCACTGTAGGGATAAAGGTACCTGCATATTATTTCCCCATTGGCTCTTTCCTTCCAGCAGAGCATCCAGAACTGCCTTACTGGGCTCCTGTGCTGTTGGATCATTACCACTGACTACATAGTAGGAGGATCGGATCCGTTTAAAGAACTCAGCATCCACATTCTTAGCATTGCAGTGATTTGGTATGTAAACTAGGTCCATATACATTGGAGGACAGTTAGGTACTGATGTTCCACTGCTGGACTTAGTGCTTCCTTAACAACAATAAAAAAGATCACATATATAAATATATACAGTAAATCTCTGATATTAAAAGCAAAGATAAACAACTCTTTAAAAGCTATAGACTGTAGACATATATTCATGTATTTTTAAGGTGTTATAGTACACATGTATTTTTCATGTTTTTAAACTGTAAGTATGAAAACAGAGTTACCTGAAGTGCTGCTTGTCACTCCCCTTGATGCAGAGGTATTAGTAGCATTTTTGGCATCTTTATCTTCTGTAGTCTTTTTTGGAGAGGACACTTTCAAATCTTTGATGGCACTTGTTTTTGACGAGCTCTTTGTTGCAGATGACTTAGCCTTGCTGCTGATGTTCTTTTTTGGCTTCCCTCTTTCATCTTTTTTAGATGCCTCTTCAGCCTTAAGGACCTCAGGATCCACCATGCAGGCATCAGGATGTGGAGGGGCAGGAGCAGGGTCTCTGGGCGTGACTGGAGGTGGGTCTGCATGACGATAAGTGATAGTCCTATCTGTTGGTAATGTTTCTGAGTCATCCTCAGAGTCAATATTTGCTTCTGCAGTTATTGATGGGCACTCCTCTGTACCAGGAGGAACATCTGAGTCTGTTTGAGAGGGCACTGATTCACTTACAGAAGTTGGGGGAGTTTCCTCACACTGCTTGCTCTGCTGTTTCCCTCCAGGTGGGGGTGGTCCTCCTCCAGACCTAGCAAGCGGCTTTTCCTCCTCCAGAGGATGTTCCTCATTCATGAAGTACTCAAGAGGACTTGGGTTTATAAAGGATGGAGAAAGCTCTGTCTTTGGATGTCTGTATTCACAGGAGGTCACCAAACACAAGTCCACAACTGCTCGTGCCTGAGAAGGGCTTGTTTTTGAGGTATCTGGCCCTATGGACCCACCATCACAAATTTTTGTAGATTCCCCATATTGACAGCTGTAGGAATATGATGTGGAGCTGCTGGAAAACTTCTCTTGCATGTCTGTCTGATTGTAACTAGGAGAATGTTGAGCTGTAGATGTCTTTTTGGGACTGGTGGGGGATTTTGAGTCTGTAAAGGGATTTGTCCCTAATCCAAGTTTCAGCTCTTCTGTCTTTGGAGGAAAACAAGATGACACCGTAGGAGATGAGGGTGACCCGGTCTTTGGAGGAGTCTTCTCCAGATTTTGTCTGTCCTCTGTTTTATCCATACCAGTCTCTTTGTAAAATGAGCTGGGACTAGGTTTATCTTTATCTGTTCCTTCATGTGAGGTGCTTGGTCCACCTAGAATAAGAGATAAGTCAGAAGATAAAGGGGAGTGATTGCGGGGTGACTGTTTTGGAGTAACAGACTCTGAGAAATGTCCTACATTTGGAGAATCTTCTCTTGGCTCCCCAATTTGGGAGGGTGTTGTAACTGATGGGGTGGACTGAGAGGCATCTGATGGGGAAACTGAAGCAGCCTGGGTACTGTCAGATTCTTTGAAAAGCATTGCCTTCTCCCCGTCTTCCCCAGGTCTGCGCTGTTCTCCTATGACACTGGTTCCATCGGAGGGGCTGTAATCAACTTCTGTTGGACCATTTTCAGTGGCTATACGCTGCATTCCTCCTAAAGATGGATGATCTGGTGACTGCTTGCTGAAATCTAATGCAAATGAGTGTTCTGGGGATTCTTGTCCACACTTAATTGACAAAGACTGCTCAGGGGATTTTGTTTCCTGTTGTGGCATTCTCAATTTTGCCATTTTTGGGGAAACATCAGGGGAGATCGACATAGGCCGGGGACTGTCCTCCTTGGAAGGGGAAACTTCTGCTTCTTGCATTGTGGTCGGAGTCTGAACAACAGAGACAGAGAGAGAGTCATCCACTTCTGTAGAATGAGGGGAGCCAACTTCAGCATGAAGTGATGGGGAGACATCATCTGTTGTAGGTTCTGGTAAAGAACTTGTTGCGAGCGATGCTGTTGAAGCAGAGGCGATGCGAGAGAATGTGTCCTCTGCGACAACCTCATCAACTGGAGTGCCAGACTTATCAGATGTGGTCCCCTCAGATATGGACATTTTGCTGTCCTCTTTAAATGCTGTGAAAGGATTTGTATCAGAAAGGCTCTCTACTTTAGTCGGTGGCAAAGATGTAGCAGATGTAACTGAAGAACTGTCATCAGTTGCTAACTTTTTATCATTATTGTCAGTCTGGCTTGGGGCCTTGTGGTCAAGCTCAAAATTGGAAGATAAATGTGCTTCATAACTCGGTGATTGCTTCTTTCCCATTTGCGACACAGGTACTGCTTCATCAATAGGACTAGCCTCTTTGGGAGAGTATTCCTTGTCACTTGTGATGTCAACAATAATAGGACCCTGGGACTCAGGTGTTTTGTCCAGTGGTAGATTGCCAGCTTTTTCCTCTACTGGGGATTGGTAGTAAGGTGTGTGACCTGAGGACTGAGGAGATAAAGGGCCCTCTAAGGTTTTCTCATCTGGACTGTATGATTCCATTCCTTTTGACATCCCTGCTAATGTGGTTCCCAATTCAATTGGTGAAGATACACCTGCATGAACATGGTCAACATTCACGTTTTGGTCACCAGAAGGTGACCTGACAAGAGGCAAAGTTGTACTGGTAGCACTGAGCCTTTTTGAATCAAAAGAGAATGTGTCTTTAGCTAAAAACTCCTTGGCAGATTTGTCTTCCTCCAGTGAAGATGGTGGTGAAATGGTGGAAGCTGATGCATGATAGTCATGCCCCTCAGTGGCATCGCTCTTGGAGTGATCTAATTCAGGAAGGTCTTGGAGAGGTGAAAGGGTCTTTCTCTCATTATCTGTAGTCATACCATACCTGACAAAATCTTGGGAAGGAGAATCACTTTCATCATTGGTTGTCTCATCACTCATTACATCTCTTGGAGTAGACATTTCATCCATAGGTGTTGGAACACTTGAGATCTCAATTGTAGACTGAGTGTGTCCAGATGTTGTGTATTCTTCTGGAGGCTCATCTCGATTTTCATCATCAGAGGCAACCTCACTTTCTAAACCTGCTGGTAGTGTTTCATCATGAATAGAAACAGCAGGAGATGCCGGTGCAGAGATCTTTGGTGGTGTGGTTACATCAAAACTCTGCAACTCAGTTTCTTTGTCATGTCTGTATTGTGGTTTTTCTGCACCGTAATCTGATCCTTCCTCGGTTTCCTGCTCTTCTTGCTGTCCATCATCTTTTAACTTAGATATTGCTCTGTCTTGCTCATCCACTTCCTCTGTATCTCCCTTTTCTTCATAGTCTCCTATCTCAGATGACTCTTCCAAACCTGTTCCTTCATCTTCAAATTTTTCGCTGGTACCATTGCTTTTTTGATTGGGTTCTAGATCCCCTGGAGTTCCACCACATTCCTCCTCAGCTTCTGTGGTTGCTATTCCTTCATCCAGGGACTCTGCTGCTTCTGGAGACTCTTTGCAAGGAGTTATTTCTTCATGCTTAATCAACCTTCCTTGATCAGAATCGTCTATTTTGGTCTGTAATAGGATTTCGTCAACTTCAGCAATCTCCTCTGCTTTCAGAGCCTCAAAGTCTTTAGTGAGGTCTTCTGGAGAAGACATCAGTGACCTCTCTGCCTCAAGAACATCTGTTACACTGGCTTCAACAGCAGGTTCTTCCGCAGTAGCACTTGAGATGGAAGGTGCTTTCACTGGTTCACCAGCATCTTTTTTGGTGGGCTTGGACTTAGCCTTCTCTTTGGATTTTGCAGGACTACCAGTGCCCTTGCCTCGTGCTGCAACCTTTGGTTTAGGAGCAGGTTTTTTCACCTCAGGAGTGCTAGGGGCATTCTTTTTCAAGCCACCGACTTTCCTCAAATCTTTTTTAGGTTCTTTTTCATCTTTCTGAGTTTCTTTCTTTTCGTCCTTTCTGCTTTCCTTTAATAGGGAATCTTTCTTAATATCTCTTCTTTTAATTTCCTTTTTCATCTCCTCTTTCTTCACCTTCTCTTCTTTTTTGGCCTTTTCTTCTTTCTTGGGTGTGGGTTTTTCAGCCTTTTTATCAGTCTCACTTTTTTCCACGGACTTCTTTGTTTCTTTCTTTATTGTTTTTGGTTTAAGGTCAACTTTCTTTTTCTCTGGAGTGTCGATTTTGGGTGTTTGCTCAATCTTGCTTTTACTGTCCTTGTCTCCTGTTTTCACTTTTTTCACAAGTGTTTTTTCTTTCTTCTCTATTTTTTGTGTCGGTTCCGGGGTTTCCACAGAGTCAGTTTTACTGAGGGTTTTTAGTTTTTCAGGGGATTCTTCTTTGGACTCTTTGTGGAGATTTTTGCTTGGGGATGGCTTTGATGTGGACTTTAGGCTCTCTTTACTATCTGTCTTATGTTTCATCTTTGCTTGTTTCAGTGTTGGTGTGAAATTTGAATTAAGCTCCTTTTGTGTGATCACAGGATGTTTGAGGAAGTCTAAGTGTTTAAGTTTCTCTAGGCCTTCGAGAATATTATTCTGAGTGGAATTGCCTGGAAAGAGAACACGGATGATTTTTTCTGATGGGTTAGCAGGATGCCACACAATCAGTGATGAGATGGAAGACAAATATGAGATTGGGAGCTCTGATTCTTTTTCATTTGGTAACAAGATGGGGGATTTGTCTTTATCACTACCAGTCCATTCTTTCAGGAAGTACTGCAACTCCTTGCTATTCTCTGCTGGGTTAAGAACATACATTTCAAGCTTTCCGACCCCCATTTTCTGGAAAAGTATAATTGGTTCTACTGTATTTCCAATCTTTCTATGCAGAGGTTCAGGCTTTAAAGACAGCTTGTTTAGGTACTCCAGCGTGAGACATGCCTCCTCAGCATTTTTCCTAATCCTGTAGTTGGTCTCAAGGTTTTCGAGGTTCTGAGGCATGTTGACAAACATAACTCCAATATCAGGTGAAATCATATTCTTTGTCCAGTCACTGTTAGCTGTGGATCCCTGCGACTGCTCCTCCTCAAGTTCAGCTATTTTGCGCCGCAGCATGCTATTGATACCAGGAAGGTTGTCATCTCCAATGTGTGTGAGGAGAACAGAATCCACTCTGTCCAGATGTCGTACCAGCTTCCAAAAACATGACTTTCTATCAGATCCACCATTAATCAGCATGTTGAAGCCATTAACCGCAAACAGTGCTGAATCACCCCGTCCACCGGGGAAAATATAACAGCATGGTTTGGATAATTTTAGGAACCCTCCTGAATTTGGAGGTTCAAGCATGTCAAAAGGAGATGGGATTTCTACAGATTCTGACAGGTACTCTGTGAATTCAGAAAGACCTTCCATTTCTGGAAGGATGGTTGGGGAGTTCAGCTTCATATGGATGAAGTCCTGCAAGTTGTGTTTGTCTAGGTTCGAATTTTTCCAGTCACCATGCTCCGGACAGAAAAGAGTTAAACTGGCTTTGTTGGCTGGGTGTATGGTGCTTAGAAGCTCTCCAATCTGTGAGTCAAATGAATGGGAACATTTCACTAAACAAGTTTACTTGAATTTGGATTACCATGTAGAACTCTACTGTGCATGCTGAGTTTTAGCATTTGTTGGCTGTTTGAGAATCTCTTTTTTTTTAAAGCACTGGTAAATATAGCAAACTGAAGCAAAAGGTAACAATCACTCACGTCTTGATCTGTAAAAATGTCAATGAATTTGAAGAGAGAAAAGGAGCCTGACTGGAGAATCAGCTCGCCTGTATTTTCAAAACACTGTCCTGCCAGGACAAGCAGCTTATGGTGGGTTGTGTCTGAGACCATCAGACGTACCTGAGTGTAGACATAAAGTTTATAAAATATTATAATCTTCATTAAACATTGACTTGACTTTAATTAATCATGGCTTGCATTTGTTGGAACAAAACCAACACAGCACGTGAAGGTTATTCTAAATTATTTACATGCAATTTCTGAATTACCCAGCTAACAGAAGTACATCTGTTTCTATAAGCTCTTCTATAAGCTTTAGTATTACTGAATTGTATTACTTTGGCTTTCTGTCTCTTTTCCTCTCTCTTTCTTGTTCTCTATCAGGGCCAGCATTTTCCAGTTTGTTGTCATTGACTGTTCTGGGCGGTCTGCCAGGGTCAGACCTGCAGTGCTCTATCATATTATTAATGCAGAGTCAAACTGCAGTCACAGTCAACAGTCAGCGTGGTGTGCGTTGTGAGTTTGTCTGCAACTGTGACACACCCAGTACATACATAACTCTCTGATGTACTAGCATATTAGTGAATTTAAATTTTTAACAGGATTTATCTGTGTAGTGTAAAAAATATATGTAATCGTTTTTGTAGTATTAGATGAGTCAACAGTTTTCTGTTGATACTGTTGCCAACACTATAATGTTGTTTTTGTCCTATAGGATACTAGCTGCTATGCATTTATTCTTATCCCCACATATTTGTTTCTGTATTAACCAGATAACTATAGTTTTAAAATATGTTTAAATGGCAGATTTATTATTTAGAGAGTGCTTACCTCAGTGCTAACAGCTTCATCTGAAGGGTTGATGAGCACTACTGTCTCCAACACATTACTTTTGTGATGCAGAATCTTTTGTCCTGCAAATAAAATGACACGTTACTAATGCTCAGTGTGATGTGCACAAACTGCACATAGGGATCTTCAAATGCTTTGGTTTGTGTTGTACACTGAATTAGACAAATATTATGAATACCCCAATATATTTAAAGAATTGTCTTCACTTAACACAAAACACAAATGCTGCTGTTTAAGGAACCACAAAGACAGAGACAGAACTAGTTTTGGTCTGTAATTTTACTGCAGACCAGTCACCCTTTTCTTTTCACTACCATTCTTTCAGCTCCTTTTGTTATGCATATTTGCCTTATGTGTTTTAAGTTAAATTTCCAGTCAAAATGGTTATGATGGTCAGGGGGTTGTTTTTTATGTGACATCTGTCTCACTTAATTACCTAGTGTGTACTCATGCACCTACCCTCTCCTTCTCTTCCTCATTTCTCTATACGCTCTATTGACACAGATATCCAATTAACCTCTGCCCTCCTCCAGCAACTTGTCATCCTTTCTCTTTCAATCACCTCATGGGTGGAACATGAAAAAGCTTCTAGTATTCCACTGTGTGTTCGCTTTTCTCTGCTAATGGAGAATTTTTTCCCTGTACATCCTCTCCACACATGTCTTTTGTCTATGTGACTATATTGACAATGTATTTCTGCCTTTGATTTTTCAATATCTTTTTTCCCCATCCCCTGCCCAAATGGCTCTCGATAAAGTGAAGTTAAAATCTCCCAATCTCTCTCTGGGTGAATCAATCCGATTATAAATTCATCAAGCTGTCCAGAAGCAGTGAAGCTGTAAGCTTGTAGGAATCGGTCAACTCTGTCACTGTCGGTACTAGAGTGTTTGCTATTACTGCAGAGTCTATGAGCCCCTTCTGTAACATCAGCCTCATCACTCATTCAGCAATTGTTGTTCATAGTCTCATAATCCCCCCTCTGAGGTTGTTTGTAAAGGTTCAGTGACCAGGTGCTCCATAGGTGCTGAAAATTGCTTGAAGAATAAGGCCTTAGTTATCTAAAATTTCAAGGTCTAGATCTAAAACACAAGAGGACACGCACAATTTTTCCATTTGCACGAAACAGTGCACAACCTCTTACATGCCTGGTCACACCACAACCAAAATTAGTTGTAAAAAAGCCTTGTAGATAAATGACATGATTTGGTGCACAAGGGATTTTACATTGCAGATATTAGGTCTCATTCACTAAAGTGTGTAAAACCTGCATGCAAACTTTCTCACACATGTAAGTTTGAACTGCAGACTCCAAATCCCATCCTGGATTTGGCAGGGTGTATTATGCTAAATACTAACTGCATGCACATTCTCCTCTTATTTAGAATAATCTGGATTCAGTGACATTGACAAAAACTGCACATGCATTTAGAAATTTAGCATGAGAACCTTTGTTGAAAAAAAGGCACAGCTGTATGCAGTTATTATTAGTGAATGTGACCCAATGTCTTACCTAAACCTCAGAGAGGTCTATAAAGACATCTTTATTGTATTTCTCTCTCATCATCCTATTTCATATATTTGTAGGTTCTGTGTGGGTTTTAAAGACTGTTCTCCTTATTAGGACGGAATATGTTTGTGTGAGTCTGTATGTGTGTGTGCATAAATCCAGGTGGTTCTCTCATGCAGTGTAAGTAATTACAGTGTGTTTCCCACCTGCTGAGTCATCATTAACGCCCCGAATTCATTCCTTTCCATATTCCCTCATCTAACCATATTCACTGCACCTGTATCTGTTCCTTCTATTATTTTCCCTGCATTTTTTGCTTTTTCTGACAGCTCTCCACAAAATATTTCTGTATGCAAATGAAACCTACATTATATGCATTATATTTCAGAGAAATACTGAAGAAATACTGTAGACAACCAGGGCAACAACCATTGAATGTGTGAGGTTTTTCCTAAGGGTAGTGATTAATTAGTGTTTAATTAAAATTTTATGTGCATCTGCCCCCAAGAACACACCATTTTTAAGTAGGTATACAGCATATCTGAGACTCCACATCCCAATATGGGCCACTCTCTTTTTGATCATTAGTAGTGGGATTTAGAGTTCCTTTGGGAGAATCTGCTTTTTTCAAGATCAGTATGAGGATGGAAGGGAAGAGCTACGGAATAGAAATAGAGAAATATAATGCATCTGACTATGCTGAAATTGACATCTGCATAGCAAGTGGAGCATACTTGATGTAGGACACACTGTGGCTTCATTTCTTCTCCACAGGGGTGTTCTGAGGTGTTGCATTCATTTCACTGCAGTACTCTCTGCTCTACTTTAGCTGCAGATACTCTTCAGAGCATAGACATCTGTGTATTGGTAATAAATGATTCTCTTCTAACCTAATTTATTTTCTCCTTGCTCCTCTAAATCCGAGCAGGTCCGTTAAAACGGCTGAGGTGGCAGTAACCTGTCACGAATGCTATTCCAGCTGCCCAGCACACACCCAGACTCGCGCAAGCAGAAGAGCGGCATCATTAGGGCCAGACTCACACCAGGGGGAAGCCCATTTATGCACAAAAACAGCTGCTGTCGGGAACTCCGAAGAGGTGAAGAGAAAAAATGTGATTAGAATCAGTGGTGCGAACTAAAGTTCGGACAAATTACGCCATGGTCGATAGCAGAGTTGTCCTCTGCTCTTGGAAAATGTAGCTGCTGCCATCGACTATTATCCACATGGGTGAGTAAAATGGAGCTTTTATGATGAAATGATCCCCACCATACCTTGATTTTCTAAACCTGACATCAAAATGTTTTGCTCTGCTTTTTCCCCCTACTCTGTTGTTTTGAACCCCATCAACTTGTATTGTATGGGTTAATACAGTTGAAACAGATTTTTCAAAATATCTCCTTTTGTGTTCAGCAGAAAAAAAGGCCATATAGGTTTGGAACAATATCAGTGTGTGTAAATGAGAGAATTTTCATTTTTGGGTGAACTATCTCTTTCATTTCTGTCAAATAGATTTTACAGGTGCTATAGGTAGATTTTTTTTGGGAAATAGAGATGGTTCTTTAAAGAACCTTTGACTAAATGGTTCTTTGTGGAACCAAAAATGGTTCTTCTATGGCATCGCTGTGAAGAACATTTTAAGCACCTATATTTTTAAGAGTGTATAAAATGTCTCCACCACCTTAGTCATCAAATCTGGATCAGATCTGTCTCTGACACCTGTCTCTACACTGCACTCAAAAAAAAGAAAAAGAAAACAAAATCAGATGGTGGACCACCTTTTTTGTCCATCAGAAAACAGCAAATCCGAAATCCTCTTTTCAAGTGAATCATTATGCATGTTCAGATTTGCTTAGATTTTTTTGTTTGAGAGAGGGCATGTGGTTGAAGTTAGAAAAAAGGCAGAAGTCAGCAAAATGTCTGAAATTTATTAAGGCACCTTAAAACAAACCATATCATGTTGTAGATATGTAACAATTATAAACCCATAGGAAGCTAAGCAGGCATATTTAATTGTCACCTAAAAGCTGGGCTACTTCCATTGCAGTTTGATTCTGGGGGCAGATGTGTCAGCCACAGTATTGTTTAACTTCCACTAGCTTTGCTTTTCCATACTCACCCAACCCCGTCCTCACCCCTCCTGTCCTGATCTCAACTCACACTGTCTCTGATACTAATACAGACTGAACACCCTTTGGGCACGTAGCCTCATCTAATGCCACTCAGCACAACGCACAAACAAAGCAAGCATCCACACAAACACAGTGCCATGAACATGAACTCGACTTTCTCCCTCACTTTGTCTCTCTCTAAATCTCTGTCCTGTACTTTCAAAGCCAAAATAGGATTTTGAACAGGACATAGCAGAGCCCTTTCGAACACACATACAAATAGTTAGAAATATCAATACCACTTATCACAGTTCCTCTTAAAAACATTTAGTCCCATAGTGTCATCAACAAAAACACAACACAGACACTAAAAATTTCTGCGGCAGAAATCTCTTTGACCAAATGGCACGTTGAAGAAAAAGCTTCATGAGATGCATATTAATCACTTTCTAGTCCATACATCAAAGCAAAGCATATCAGACATCATTTTAGGCTCAGTTTTATACTTACAATGACATTAAATGCTCTTTTCCTTTATTTATTTATTTATTATTAATCAACATCAAAACAAATATATTATATAATTGTACAAAAATCTATATAACAGCAAAACAAACACACCCAGGACAGTATGACTTTACTATAAAACTGTATTGAAATTCCTGTATATTCATTTTTCACAGAACAAAGAATTTCATACACATTTGGAACAACATGAAGGTAAGTAAATTACAAACTTTTGGATGAACTGTTCCTTTAAATTGTCAAGTTGTTGAAAGATACCTATTTTAACAATAATATATCATAATAATTGACCTAAACATGTATAACATTGCCAGTTCATATATCATACTGTTAATATTAATAATATCACAGAATTCCAGGTGAACAGACAGTATGTAAATACACAGTAGGCTGTGCAATCATTTGTTAAGTGCTTATTGATTACATTACAGAAGCTGATTCATTACTATTGATTATATACTGCACTGATGCTGTGCGAATCTGCTGGACTGTGATAGCTGATCTAATTTTAAACCTCCAGGCACATTTTTAAGCCTCAGTCTCGACTCAAAGCAATGAAAAAGTCAAAGTTTAGGTACCATATATGCTTATCATCTAAAGGCCCTGAAGTACCTCAAAAGCAAAGGGATCCTCCATGTTCCTTTTATCTCCTGAGCCTCACTGACACAATATTACCTCTCTCATAATTCTTTCTCAAGCATGCTTCCTCGTCTTTTTTTTTTTTTTTTTTAACTGTAATCTCTTTTCCGAGTTTCACACTGTGATTCATCTTCTGTTAGTGATTCTGACTGGGGCTCCAAGCATTTCAAAGGCATTGGGATGGTATTTTGTACAAAGGAGTTCATCTAAAATAGATGATTTCCTGTTTGTCCCTTCATTTTTTTCCTCTCTGTTTTTTCTTATTTTGTCTGATCCATTTCCATGTGAATAATGTGAATAACCATGTTTTTCAAAAAATTGCATACTCCAATATTTTTTTCTTTTGACAGTTTGATTGTATTGTTCCTTATGGGTGCACTGCTTTGAATAAAAACATCTTCTAATAAATAATAATAAATAAATGTAAATATATATATATGTGTGTGTGTGTGTGTGTGTGTGTGAGTCTCAAGTCTTCCTGTGCTTTTCACAGGCCTCCGACGTCTGGCCTCCTCCCTGCTAATAGTAATAACCCACCTTCTCCCTGCCCCCATTTATCTTTCTTGCCCTCCGAGAAAAACCCAGTAGGAGAGTTCAGCAGATAATTATCCTACAACTCTCTTGTACTCTACGCTGAAAACTATTAAAAACTAAATTCAATTAAAATCCTTTGAAAGTAACAAGTTACAAAATTGGAATTGCTGTAAAAAAGGAGGGGGAGACTGGTGGGTTAAAGCAATTATCAAGACATCCACTAGGTATTTGTCTGTGGTGGACAGCTAATGGCTTTGCATTTATAAAAGGCTTAATGGCCAAAAGCGGCACAATGCAAATTCCTCTGTTAATTTTCTAAAAAGCTTCGTCTAAAGCCACCCATCGAGCAATAAATCTGATTATGGAAATGAACCAACACCTACATGTGTCATGTTTATCCTAAAGGGGGGATTAGTAGCCAATGCTACTATTCATGCTTTGTCCTCCTCCGACAGCCATTCAGATAAGTAAATAAGAATTCCACAGTGAATTCTGATGATCTCAACAAAGTAATAAGCTTTGCTGCCTAACGGCAATACCGGAACTGTCTCAAGTGCTTCCTGTACTAACATATATAATCAAGGAGACAGTCATGATGAGTGTAATTTATTGTGCTATTAAGCTATAGTGTGTGTGTGTGTGTGTGTGTGTGTATGTGTGTGTGTTCAAGCACAGATTACATTTCAATCATTGAAGGTCAGTGTTGGCTCATCATCTGCTTACATTAGCAGACTGAGAGTCTCTCTGGAAGATATTTCCATTATGGTTAAACCCCCACAATTTCCTGCTGTTTTGTGAAAAATGCTGTACTATTGTTCAAGTCTGACTGCATTTGAAGCCCTATGTGTTAAGCCTTGAGTTCAAAGGCAGACAAAACCATTGTCATTCATTTTTCAACTAATTATCTTACATCTAGCATTTCATCCCTTGCAGCAATTCAGCATGAGAGAGGAAAATAGAGAAAATGAAAGATCCGGGGGCAGACAGACAGAGCGAGTGTGCAGGGAGGACAGAGGAGGGGACACCAGGGACAGGGTTTGATCCAGACAGAGCTTCAGGCAGACCGTCTAAACCCACCTCTTTTATCTTCATCAAAAGAATTCATCAAGCTCACAAAAAATCAGAATGTAAAAGAAAATATGACTTTACTCCAGATATAGAAGAGGGTTAAAGATAGAAAGAAATGGGGAAGCTAATAAGGTCTATTAATCGTGGTTATCTCACCAATGTTTAAGTGCTAATAAACTGATAAGGATCACTTTTACTTAACAGCTGAAGCATGACATTATGTAACAAAATATATTGCTGTTGTGATGGGGGTGTTCATAAGAGTCACAGAGCTGTGTACTGTGGAAGAAATGTAAACAGGTGTAATGCAGATATAGATTCAGGCACCAAACCGCTGAAGTGATTGACACAGCTTTCATCCCCGACAAGCTGATTTAGTTGGCACTGAAATTATGTCACTGGAATTCTTCCTGTCTATATTTATAGACAGTGGATTTTTTAAGCAGATTTTCTAGCTGTTTTAATGACCTTGGAACATGAGAGATTTTGCTAAGTCATGGTAATGCTAATTCTTATATGGAAAAAAATAAGCAGTACAAAATACTTGCTCTTTAATGTACCACTATTGAACTTGGGGCTCGCTTGTGTTTTAAATTTGTAATATTAGGTTATCATAAATTGCTACGTAAGAGTTTTGAGCTGGCTAAGGGATCATGTTCAGCCTACCTCTCACGTCGGCTGAAAACCTGGCAGAGTGTCGAGAAACAAAAAGCTTCAACTCCTGGTCCAGGTTACAATCAATCAGGTTTGTGTCCCATGAACGAATTCCTGCAAACCAGAGGGAAAAGTGTGAAAACACGAAAAGTGTTGCACTTTTTACAGATCATGAAGAGATCATGAACATACTTTACTGTACACTGGATCAGTCTAAAAGGGGAGCTATTCAAATCAAAATCAGATTGGGTTTTAGATCTTTCCTGTGTATTGAATTGAAGACCAGTGTTACTAAATTCACGTAACTAAATGCCATGCTCTGTTGGTTTACACCCAAAAGTCAATCAATGTATGGAAATATCTATGAAATGTTCTGAGACTGGATGTCTGTGCTAATTCTCTTTATGATCAATGGTTAGCCAGACGATAAATTTTGTGTTGAAGAGGACATTTCTCGAAATTAGAATGTAGTGCTATCTGCCTCTGAATGGTAACACGTTAAGAAGGTTGTTCACATGGTTCATGACAAACATGAGCATGATACTTACTCCCCTCATGGGATCACAAAAGAATATTTCTCCTAGCTATATTTCCTCTACCACACACAATTCATACTGTATGCCTTCAAGGCAAGTATAATAATATACTGCTATTACAATGGTGACTTTATGGTTTCCCTTATGAAGCACTGCTTTGCTTTTTTTCACCTCCACTTCTGGCTTGATTATTTGGTTGTTTAAAATTTAGAAGATGCCAGATCTCGTTTACTCACAAAGTTCCACAAAACAATTGCACAGGTATTGTTTGATTTAATTTCAGTGATTAATACAATACAAAAAAGTAGTTTTGTTTATTACAATAAACAGCAGTAAAACTTCCAGTAAAGTGAATCTTGTAACAAGTAAATCTAAGAAAAATCGTGCGTTGTTCAGTATCAACAAAGTGATGATATAATGATTCATGAGTGAGCGTATGCCTACTGGAAATAGCCTACGTTTAGGGCAGTTTTATCTACACATCACAAAACTTTTAATTAATAGCGTTTTATTCAGAAATGCAAGAAATTTTTAAGCCAATACGTGTAAATTTAGCCTATAGTATTTTGTAATGTAAATTATAATTAGATTATAAAGACTTGTTTATAAGTTAAATCATGGCTGCATTGCAACAAGCTCAAAGGGACACATACAATTAGGCTATAATAAACATCCTTACTAATAAGATGTAATTAAAAACGCAATATGTGCTATTATTGGATCAATTAGATGTAGGAACACGTGACTACATAATTCGGAGCAAGCGAATCTGTTTTATATATATATAGACCTATATATATATATATATATATATATATATATATATACAAACCGTTGAACATAATAAATCAATCAAATCAATCGAGTCCCACTACTAACTGAAACGCCCTTTTTGGCAGGAACCCGGGCCCTTCTGACTTTCCGTAGGGACTGCAGTGCGGACCGCGCCACGCCTACAAGCCGGTGTCGTAAACTACTAGAAAGGAGTGAGTATGGAAATAAATCGGGATGCGCAGCCAGCAACAATCTGTAGGTCTGGTGAAGAGGACAAAAGTTGTGGCTTTTGTCATGCAACGCCACTTTTGCTAGTTATACAATACATCTAGCTATTTAATACGATTAACTCATTCAGTGATAAACTGAATTCATTATTTACTGAAAATAACTCTCGTGGTTATTTAAGGTGATTCCCGCATGAATCGCAAAAACAAGATAAGAAGATAGTAAGAAAAACACCAGCTAAGGAAACAAAGAAATGGCGCACCACATCAAAAATCCATGCAAACCCAAGGTGATGGTGCACATCATGACTGCAGAGCCGATCGATGCTCCATATAACGACCCTCCAGCCCGCAAAACAAGCGATGCGCCTTATTGATCGACAGACTATAAATATGCACGCTGAATCATCCTAGCCCACGACACAAGTCAGACACTAAAGTTCGTCATATGGCCAAAAACGACATCTGGATCATCAGATAGAGCTGCACGCCCTGCGAAAACAGTGATGGTGCTGATGGTGATGGTGCTGATGTCTTTGGGAAACGGAGTGGCGCGATGCGATGGCTTTGATAAGACATGCATTGCACTCGCCAGTTACTAACAGGGAGGGGCTGCGCTACAGTTTCCATCCTACATATTCTCACAACAAAGAAATCCAATAAAATGATGCATGGAAAGTTTCTTACAGTCAGCAGAAATGTGTGGCTAGATTCCCCCATTCAAGACACCTATAGGCTATTCAAGGTTAGACTATTGAACTTGAAAAGGCAACTGCAGAAGACATACGCGTCCAGGCATAATTTAAAACAGATTCATGGCATAAATAGCACTAAAGCACTGCACGTTATTCGTGTCAGCTGAGCTACCTTTCTCAATGTCCGCAATGGCACACTTCAGATGCTCGTCGGTGACCAGCTCCCCGATGACCACCAGCAGGTAATATTTGCCCTCGTCGAAGTGATGTGTCGGGGCCGTGGGTGATGCCGTGTTCCTGATGCTACTGACACCTCCGAAGGGTGCTGGAGGATCTACAGTATCAACTAGCGTCGCCATTCTTCAGACACTCGCTCTCTGTCCGGCAACCTGAAGTGAGCTGCTCTCTGAAGCCGTGCAGCGGGCGCAGAAGGAGTGGCCCGGGCTTTTATATCCTCAGACTGTGTGTCATAGTGATGAGGAACCGTTGCTGCCTCCTCTCATCCAGCTGATGTCATGCAGCAAATCATAAAACTGCGCGAGACCAATCGGAACGTTGAAAAGCGTTACATAATTAAAGGATGTCCAGGATTTAGCGTTAACATTGGACTAACTTGTTGACATGTGGATTGCGCGTCAATATTCATAAAAGTTCAGCACTGACGACATAAAACAGCCATACCAATGTCAAAACATGTCAAAACAGTGACTCTATAGCCTATTTCTAAAGTATCTCAATAATACAACATAATTCATATTTAGGCTACAAGTATTGATATTCTTTATATTTTGAATAAAATTTGCAGGAGTAATATCGTTTTTATGAGTTCCCAATCTCACATTTGCGCTGCCGTTTTCTTTGCACTGGGTTGTGTATTTCACAAAGTTTGTCTTAAGCATGTCCATTTACACATTTCACTTCCACAAACAACAACAAAAAGAAAAAAAAAATGTGTGTGTGTGTGTGTGTGTGTGTATATATATATATATATATATATATATACAGTATATATATAATCATAAAGAAAATACTTTTATTTAGCCTAGTGACATTATTTGTATAAAATAAGCCCCCTTAATTCTCATTAATGTGGAAAGAATTATATATAAATTATAAAGCATTTATAGGCTACATCAGTGGTATTTGTTGTACTTAATTTATGAAGCAAAATAGTTGAAAATAATGTCACCATGTTGAAACGAATAGTGCTAAAATAGGGTTTATTATTGTATTTTTTCTTTTTTTTTTCTTTTTTTTTTTTAAATATTACCTGGACATGTTTTTGACAGGTGAAATTCACCCATAGTAGTCTAAATTTGAAGTGGATCAAAAAAGTTCATCAAAGTTGTCCTAAGACAAGAACAGGGATTGTTTTGGTTTTAGGACAACTTTGATGAAAGGTTTTGATCCACTTCAAATGTTGTGGATTTATTACATTACATTATTTATTATATTACAGTTGTCACATACTGTAATATAACATAACTGTCACCCTCAGTTTTCATGTAATTAGTCATGTTTTTACTGCAACGCTTCTCAGGTACACAAAATGGTATCTATAAAAATAATTTAATAATATATTTCCAGGAATATATTTTCTATATTTTTTGTGTTTTTATGTGCTTCTGAAAGACTAACATCTGTCTATATTTTGCTGTGCTCTTCCCACTGATGCAGAAGAGGGTGTTCCTCCTGGTCCCGTCTTGATGATGTCATTTTAGGCAGAGTCATTGCACATATTTTACTGTCCCATTTTAAAGGTGGATGCACTGTAATACAGCTGTGTCATTGGGGTTCACCTGGAGCTGTGCGGCAGATTTTGTGCATTTAGCACTCATACGCAGGTTACTGCTGTATATAAGATCGATAAACACACCAATTTATGTATTTGTACTTAAGTTTATGTTTATTCAGTGTTATTTTCATTCGTGATTGTTAATGGCAAATTTGTTTTGCCATGTCACAAGCTAGTTTTATGAACTTTTGTTTTGCATTTCCTGCAGCTGTTTCAAATGAACCTGTTATCTACGGTACGTAAATATTTCAGTAAGATAAATCAGCGTGTCAGTCACTGCAGTCTTGAGCACTGGAAGTGGGGCATGATTCAGCACATCAAACATTCAGTATATTGCATCTGGAAAAGTGGAAGCCTGTTTTAAATAATTTATAAGACCACATGTGAACCAATAGTGTGATAATAAAGTGTGGAAGGGTGCGTGATGTACAGTGACAGAATGGAATATGCAAGAAGAAGTGAAATGTTAATATTGTTAGTTGAGGTGTTAATATTGAAAGTATGTGTAACCACATGATTTTGTATTTCTGTAGGCTATATGGTGCTAGTCAAAAGAGAGAGTGTTCAAATTTAAAACAGAATTAGGAGATTACGTTTCCTTGAGTCAATAAAGGGGAATGAAATCGGAATAGAGTGAAGGAAGAGAATGAGATCATTTCAGCAACAATTATGTTAAGTGGTGTCTGTCATGACAACGACATTTGTTGCCATGGTAGCTGTGCCATGGGACCACAGTCAGCCCATCAATGCATGGGGCACAAGATTAAACAATCATCATTGCTATGGAAATGCCCAGTCTGGCATATGAGTGACTGGTGACAAAATATGATATGGTCATGTTTGATCAGTTTTTCTAACAACTAAAAATGACACAGATGTGCTTACAAATGTACTGTCTTCTATAATTCTATTCAATTTTAAAGTATTTCTTCCACACTGATATTTACAGTAAATCATCTACTGTACGAAACTCACATACTTTCTTGCAACACATGGCAAATAATGTCATAGTTAGCTCCAACACAGGTTATTCCTAGATGAGGATTTATAACAACTTTTAGTTTGGAATTAACAAAGGAATGAAGAGCAGAACTAGTCTTATTCTGGCAAATCCTTCTGTGTACTAGACACTAACTCAACAGGGGGCACTCTGAGTGTATAAGCACATACCCTAATGCCCACATGCTCCCATTATGCTCCGAGTTTTGTGAAAGACACACACACAGCAACTTATCTAAGCAGTCTTGTGGCAGCATTGTGGTCAAATGCACCTGAAAATAAAATGATCTCAGTGTAATTATTGTGATTAACAAAACATGACATTATGTCAGCCTGTGAAAAGCAGCAAATTACAGGAAAGTCTGTTTTCCTCTGCAGGGCAAGCAGGAAAACGGTATAGCAGCTTGACAGTTTTTGGACTGAATAAGTGTGTGGTGTTTTGATGAGTCAGAAGTGCCTTGCTCTGTCTGAGTCTGCCATCTACACAGTGGTACACACTGTCTGCCTGTCATATTAACAAGCGCTATAAATGGGTCAAATAAGGTAAATGGTAGATGGAAAATATAAAATGCAGTTAAAGAGCAATTATAGAGGTGTAAGATAATTAATATAAAATAATATTTTGAATCACTGTCATTATCCAATACATTCCACATTTTTTAAAGATGAAAAGAGGTTTGGGTTCAACAATGCAAATGTAACGTTTCATTTACACTGTGAAAAAAGGACACATCTGGGTTATTGTAGCTAACTAAAACAAAAACCATAAAAAGTGTTACTTGAAATAAAATAAATGTTAACTGAAATAAAATAAAATAAAATATAGCAACCTTTTTATTTCAGCAAGTTGACAAAGGTCATTTCTCATTAGTTCAAACTCATGTACTCAAATAATTAAAACTAAAACTAAAATTATTATTTTTTTTATTATACAGGCAAAAGTAAACAACAAAAATGTAAAAAAAACAACAACAAAAAAACAACAACAACATTATATGTACACACATATACATACATATTTGATCCATTTTTTTTTTTTATTGGTGTAATCAAATGTTGTCAGGTTGATTCTGTCATAAATAATATTTTGGATAAAACCAGTTAATTTTTAAAAAACTTTATGAAGCAACATTACTATGCATTACTATTATGAACATATTTTTACTATGCATATTTTTCATACAGAAAATGTTTACTATGTATTATGCACAATATGTATACTAATGGAAACAGAAATAAGTTTTCTATTAGGCTATTTCAAACCACAGCATGATTATCTGTGGACCTCTAAACGTGATCTGTTCAAGAATCAGAGCGTAATCAGTATTGTGCTCCCCCCTAGTGTTCTGATGAGGTGTCACACAACGCCACAGCGTATTTATAATTCCTAGTTGGGCTTGTACTTTTCACGGCATCTACAGAATTAGCCTACAAATCCTGCCCTTAAACAAAAATACTTAGTGGTCAGTTCAAAACAAGCACAAGATAATGTGTTTGATCATTCCGGGTGCACATATTTGTTTAATTATTAAAATACATCAGTTTCTTATAGCTGTACATTTTGTGCATGGTCATCTCCTGAGTCCTAGCCTACTTGTCTAGTTCAAAGAGGCTTCAGATTATTATTTATTCAACATGAAATGACAATACTATTGCTTGTAAAATATTGCCTGACCAGTCATAACTGTATTAGCCTGTCTTATGAATGGTGGGATGTTTTATTAATGCTCCACAAGGTGTCACTATCATTCTATCTTGCACGTTCTCCTCTTATGAGTCCTTATTCAAGCGCATAGGCCTTGTGATTCGGGGGGGCTTATGGTGAGCCGTCGTCAAATCAGACTCAGTTTCTCTTTGTCAGTAGGCAGTGCCTTTAACTACATGTCTGAACAGCCTTTGTTTGTATAAAGGGGTTGTGTCATGAGTCATGTTTTATCCAGTCAGTTTATGGCTCTTTTAAAAGAGCTTTTTACTGAGGATAAGGACGCACCTCTTTAGCTCATCTACGGTTTTAAATTAGCCATTAAGTTAAATCTTTTAATTTGCGAATCGTCGTGGGTATGTCAAATGATACCCTCACCACCCTTCACATAGTGCCAGACTCCTTGAATAATGATTGGCCTATTCATTATTGCTCAATAGCCAAAGCTTAAAACACTTACATAAGAAAAAAAAATAGGTGATTCAGTTTTTTTTTGCCATTGTAGAAGATTTAGAAGTTTGCCACCCATGATCTAAATTAAAAATATTTTACATTTCTGGTTAAATTTCTTTTAAAGGCCTGGAACTATTCGGCTGCATCTAATACTTTTGTACTACCCTTACCAAAAAGTAGTATACTTCAAGTTTATTTTAGTAAGTATACTTAAGTAAAGTTCAAGTATATTTTTAAGTATACTTTATGTAGTAAGTATACAAATATCAGTGTACTAGTAGTATACTTGTAAGTGTACTATTTCAATACTCCTTGGGACTAAATTGGCCCACGTTCTAGTATATAAAAGTACACTTTTAAGTATAACAGTAGTAAACTTTGAGTACTAGTTTTTAGTTTGTACTGCAACTATACTAAAAGTGAACTTATAGGTATACTGATAGTTTACTAATGAAATACTTGTAGTACACTTTGAAGTACAGTCTCAATAACTACTAGTTTAGTAGTTTTATACTGCAAGTATACTCGTAAGTTTTCTTTAAGTGAACTTTACAT